TACAAATATTATAACAAAGGAATATATTGAAGAGTGAAAGGGACTGATGTATACCATATAACTATAATTAAACTTAATACAAATATTATAACAAAGGAATATATTGAAGAGTGAAAGGGACTGATGTATACCATATAACTATAATTAAACTTAATACAAATATTATAACAAAGGAATATATTGAAGAAAGTTTGGATAACAAATTATTTATTCGTAAAAATTATTTTGGAATCCATTTTGAATTAAAAAAGAAAAAAACTATTTTCTGTTTTCTATGAACCACAAGGGCAGTTTTATTTTGAACCCCTCACTTTTCATATATTTTTTACTAAGCTTTTTAGTGTATTTTGGCGTTTAAGCTTGGGCATAATCCAATATGATGTGAGACGCTCAGTATAAAACGTTTATAACGCTGTTGTAGAGAAATGTTAGTGTTAATCTTATCCACTCCAAACCATACAGATTTCAGAAGGAGAAAGTTCAAATTATGTGACAACATTGGTACTACTTTGTGACCTCGTAGCTCTTCTAGTATTGATTTTACGCACAAGTTAGAAAGTTCAAATTATGTGACAACATTGGTACTACTTTGTGACCTTGTAGCTCTTCTAGTTTAGATTTTACGCACAAGTTAGAAGGTTCAAATTATGTGACAACATTGGTACTACTTTTTGACCTCGTAGCTCTTCTAGTATTGATTTTACGCACAAGTTAGAAGGTTCAAATTATGTGACAACATTGGTACTACCTTGTGACCTTGTAGCCCTTCTAGTTTAGATTTTACGCACGAGTGTGAAAAAAGCAAATATATTTGGTTACATACTATAAATTTCAAAAAAAGGCGATTGAAAAGTAGTAATATTTCAATCTCCCGTACAGTTTACTTTAGTTTAACCCGGCTCTTGAGAGAATTGAGGCTTTATTCATCTCTGCACATTATACAGTGTTAGCATTTGAAATACATGGTCGTAAAATGTAATATAGCCATTAGTTTGCCATAAATGTCATATCCACTACAGGTTCATGTCTCTATCTATATAAAGGTAAAGGTACAGGCTGCAGGGTGTCAAAAAAATACCTTTTCGGATATTCTTTCAATTCTTCAAGTTTTATATAAAATTTTATAAATATGTCTTTTTAAGGAGAGTAACAATGAATAATAAAACACATTTAACAACACAGAATTTAGCATTTTTTTTAGATTGGTCAAGTTGAACTAAGTACAGCTTTTTGAACTATTGGTTTATATAAAACGGACAAACGGTACAGCCTTCAAAGCTTTTTCTGATCAAGTATAAATCAGATATCGATGTTTATTATTTGAAAAACTGATTTTGTATTTATATACTGCAGCAAAATTTTTTAGAAATTTTAAGTTTTAACACTTTTTTAACTATTTAATCGACAATATAATATAAAACACAGGAAAAAAACATTGAAGATGTATATATGTTCTTCAATTATTAGAATCACGCACCTCTGCCCCTTTAGTAAAAGTAAATTTAACCTTGTTGCACTGGCTAGTCCTATAATTGATTGTCTGCTTTATTAACCCAATGTCTGTGCGGTACAGTACAAACTGGGAACGGAAAGGTTGACCCAACTCGGAAATGCTCATGGAATGCATATTTGTAGAAGTTTCTCTAACATATAATGGCTAAAGAACCCAGCGTAGCCCCTGGTAGTTTAAAAATCGTCCAATCCACGACGGACTAACCAGAGGGAGAGGCGTTCGGTTTTTTTCTATTTGAAATCATATGCATTTTGGTCTATAATTAAACAATCTGTAAATTTACGGATTTGTTTGCTTAATACTTTTCATTCAAATGTATATACCGGCAAAAATAGTATTTTCGAGAAAAGGAAAATAATTATGTTTAATAGGTCAAATTGTGATTGAAAGTCAAAGCTTTCTGGAATTTTGACACAACCTTTAAATCCATGTGGATCGGCCTCCTTTATATAAACTGCTATTTTTTCTGACGAGCCATGGCCCATATATCTTATAATACCCAGGCCGGAAAATCTAATAGTTTAAAAAAAGTAACATGTTTAAAAAAAGTAACATCTCTCTTAGTGCTACGATAAAGTAGGCTTTAGGTAAAATACATATGTATATAATATCATAAATTCATATTTTGACTTTTATCTTTTCATTTATGAACATAATAAATGATTTCAAATAAATCATATGATGAAGTTTAGGAGAAATACATGATACTTTGCAAGCATTTTTCTATATATCAATCAAACAATTATACACGACATTCATTATTTCAATTGGGTTAATTTGAAAACAATATATCAAAATAGAATCACGACTTCGACCTAAAATACTCTGAAATCTGTGCACAGTAATGGGGAAGTTGAGGGGGAAAGGAGGGAGGAGGGGGGGAGAGGGGGGACGAGAGGAGTTTGTCTACTTTGTAAAGTTTTTCTACTTTGTCTATCTTGTCTAGTTTGTCAAGTTTGTCTATTTTATCTAGTTTGTCTAGTTGGGTTATTTTGTAAACTTTGTCTAGTTTATCAAGTTTGTCTAGTTTATCTAGCTTCTCAATTTTGAATTAGAATTATGAATCCTTCCATCGGCGCTAACAGTAAATGAAATATTTACTTCTACTGAATCTATAGTGCCCAACTAGACAACTATCAAGTTTGACTTCTTTGTCTAGTTTGTCTACTTTGTAAGGGCGCAATGACAAACTCCTGAAATACAAACTCCTGAAAGACAATCTCCTGAAAAGACAAACTCCTGAAAGACAAACTCCTGACGAGACAAACTCCTGAAAATAAAAACTTCTGAAATACAAACTCCATAATATCAAATTTAAAAAAATTAAAATCTAAATTATATTCTATTCTAATTATACAATTAAGTAATTTCCTAGAGAAGGATTTTTGGACCCCCTCCCGGCCCCCCCCCCCTCCTATCAATTTTGTACATGGATCTTATATGTTAGACATGGATATAATTGACCATGTGGCCGCAGCGCTCGGCCCCCTAACCTGTCCTAGCCGCAGCGCTCGGCTCAGAAAGTGTCTTAACTAGCCTAACCCATGGCCGCAGCGCTCGGCCCCCTAGCCTGTCCTAGCCGCAGCGCTCGGCCCAGAAAGTGTCTTAACCTAATTAAACCCTAAATTATAAAAAATCAATAATAATAAATTTTGTAATACTTTGCTGCTTGAAGCATATTCAAATTACTAAAGACTGAGAATTTTTTCTAGGATATTTGCGGATTTTTTCTCCTTAAGTTTTTGAATTTTATCATATTTCATTCAGAGAAAAATTTAATAATTTCAGGAGTTTGTATTTTCAGTAGTTTGTCTTCTCAGGAGTTTGTCTTTCAGGAGTTTGTCTTTCCGGAGTTTGTCTTTCCGGAGTTTGTCTTTCAGGAGTTTGTCTTTCAGGAGTTTGTCTTAAAGGAGTTTGTCATGGCACCCTTTGTAAGGGTTTTTTACTTTGTCTAGCTTTTATAGTTTGTCTAGTTTGTAAACTTTGTAAAACTACTTTCATGCATACTTATGCCAATATAAATTATATTCTTGAAAGCTACTTAACCTAAGATTTGAAAATATGTTAATTTAAATAATTTCTTTTAGAAATGTACCTGTCTGTCTTTTTTTTTTTACAGTGTGTTATCTTTACATTGTACGTCTTTTAGTTGTTCTCTGTACTTTGTGAGTCCAGGAAGAAAGCATCATCACCGGATTGCTACCGGAGACCCGTCCACCTCAGGACCCAGCTACCGCCACCTTACCAGAGACCCCGGCATTTTCAACGGAGACCGCAAATAAAATAGTTAAAATTTTTGCAAATTGTAAAATGCTCTTGATCGTATAAAATGTTAAGACCATTCCCGTGGTTCTCCCGAGTTCCACAATGAAAATTAGCTTGCAGATTTCCGCTATTTAAAATTTGTATTTAATTTAAATTCCGCACTTAAGAACATTCCCCTGGTTCCAAATCAAATTAGGGGTTCATGAGTTATGACCGGATAAACAAATAGACAAACAGAGCAAAGATTACAACTTTATATTAATTGAAAGATAGAACGGAACAGGAGGAGTAGGGGAGAGGGGCGGGGGTTGAATATTGAGGAGACAGGAAGAGAGGGAGGGCGGAGGTTGTAAAGTTTAATAAGAGATGAATAATGAATATGCACGATAATTTTTTAATTTTTAAAAATGTTGTAGATTTCTTTGTAAATGCATAAAATAATATCAAAATGTAAAAGTTTATGATAAAATGAATTTATATAGGTCTTTATGCCATAAAAAGCAATTTACATTTTTAAAAATGTTAACTATTTATTTGGGGTCTCCGATGAAAACTTTGGGGTCTCCGGTATGGTAGCGGTTGGGGTCTCCGGTAGCACTCCGATGATGCTGCTTTCTTCCTACACTCGTACTTTGTACACTTTTTAAATAATGATATTTTTTGTGTTTCTGGGACTCTGAGTTTAAAGTCCATGTTTGCTTACAAGCATTATCTCAGGTTTAAACAGTATAAAAGAATGAATAAGTTTATGAATTTATTAGTGCATTATAAAGTTCAAACTTTACTGCTAAACTCAGAAAAAAAACATAAGGTAAAATATTCATTCCTATATAAATTCAATTTTAATAGTTTTCAATGCAAATTATAAATTCGTTTAAGCAATTAAGAAAACATTTATAAATCATTTTACCAAACAACATTTGCTTTTTTCAGGTATGATTCTTTCGATTGTATCTATTCTTTTTGCTGTATATCTGGCCTCCTGTAGCAAGGTAAGTTTTTATATCAATTCAAACCCTCCTGCAATCCTATAGGCAAAACAATATGCTTAATTTAATGAAAATGTGAAAAAGATTTTACTCAATATCGCTTTCGTTTAATTTTCATATTTGTAATAGTAAGCTAGGTTTTATTTTTATTATGTAGGGATCTGTTTCTGCAGAAACAACTGCTGTACTTCTAGGAGGTTCCAGTGGTAAGTTTTTTTTAATTTATTCTTATTCAATAAAAAAAATTATACACTTCTGTAGAACACAAAATATCTATTCATTTAATGCTATTTTAAACATTATCATTTAACATTGTTTTATTTTCAAATATATAAATTAGAGTATTATGTTAGAATCAAAATTGTTTAACAAATATTATGATTAATATAAAGAAACTCACCATAGACTTATTTTTAGCGAAAACCTTCAACTTTTAAATTAAAAAATCTAATTCTAATTTTAATTTTAAATTTAAATTACGTTTTTACATTAACTAGAATATATGATAAAATAAAATTACAATATGTAAGTTTTTATGTTTTCAAATAATGTTTTTTAAATATTTACTTCAATATTTCAGCCAGACAAAAACATTAATAAATCAAATTAAGATCATATTTTAAGGTGGTGGGAGAACTGAATCATATCCCTGTGATGTGGCAATAGGAGATATTGGTCCTCTACAAGGACTACGTACATATACTTTTGTTAAGAATATATCTTGAGCTAAGAATTAAAAAAGTTAAAAGCAATCATAAATAATATAATGTAGTTTAAAACGAGAAAATCAAATCACAGAATTGCAGATTCATTTATCTTACAGAATGGAATTCCTATGATTAATGCAACAAAATATAATTGATTGTCTAACTATATGATCATAAGAAAATAAATGTATCTATTTTGTATATATATAATATATTGGTTTTAATAAAGGATTATTTTTAATTAGTTAATTATATTAATATTTTTTAGAAGCTGCAGTTCTGAATGGACAGATTGTTTACTGCGGGGGATATGTTGGTGGTATGCAACTTAGGAGTTGATACCTATATATTACTTTATGATTATTTAGCGCTAAACCCATATTCAAAGTTTCCCTATTAAAACAGATGATTAGGATGATAATTTAGACATTTTATATTGGAAATTCTTTAACATTTAGGTTTTATATTTTAGAAATAATCACTGTAAAAAAAGTAACTGAACACCTTCTAATTCTTTTATCCAATACCTTTGAAACCTAATGTTGTTAATCTTAGACATTTTTATTATACTATTACTACTATTAGATGAAATTGTTGTAAGTTTAAAATACCAATGGTTTACACCATCAGATTAAAAAATATAGGGATTAGAAACTTTAAGTTTGTGGCGAGTAATCTAGTTCTTTTGATAAAGAATAAATAGACATAAGAGCAGGAACTTTGTTTTTTACTGATACCTTTGCCACAATTTTAAAATCCTTATAACTTTGCCACATAATGGTGTAAACTTTTGATAGTTTAAACTTAGACAAATTGATGTACACAAATTCATAGTTTGAAAGATTCGAAATCAGAGCTTGAAGCAAAGAATCAATTCATTTTATTTAAATTCAATTATTATTTGTTGATGCAATAAACCTTTCTTTGTGTTTTTTACACTTAAGGAACTAAAGATTGGAGCATTTTAACTTTTTAGTATTCTGCTAGTTTTTTTTAAAGATCTAGAGCTACTTGCTATCAGTCAGTATTGTTTACATTTTATTTAAAATTACAAGTAGATTTTTTTTAATTGTATAAGTACATTTAGTACTAAACATAATAGTTATGGAGGTAGAGGGGGATTCAAACACATTGTAATGTAAATAAACTGTGTCAAACTCCTAAATGTTGCATACCTATACCTATAGAATACCGCAGGTAGAATATGGGGAACTAGTGAAAACTAATAAATCAAACAATAATAAAATATAGAATATAAATTATATGTATTAAGAAAGAATTGTTCAAAGTATTGTAACTACTGAGGATCGTCATGATGGCGTAAAACATTATGTTTAGTATAATTCTTTTTTAATAAAAAATTAAGAAAGATAAAAATTCACAAAATACAAGTTGAAATTGAATATTATTGTTTAGAAACTGTTTCAAGAATGAGGGAATGGACTGGCAAGAGATTGAAAGTATGAATGTGGCTAGATCATACTTTACCCTGACTACACTAGGAGACAAGATACTTGCTGCAGGAGGATATGATTCACAGGAGTATGTTCTTTGTTTATTCATATTTGTTTTATAAACCTTTTTGTTCTTTATTGATCATCTAGCTTTCTTTCCTATTAAAAAAATGGATGTTTCTAAATTAAAATATTGAATTATTATATTAACATTCTCACAAACTGGAATACTTGAGTCAAACCCCTTCATCTATTTCAGTTAAAATTATTTATTTGTTTACTAGGAGAACTGCTACTGTGGAGGTGTTTGACGGAACCTCCTGGAAGCTTCAACCCTATGAATTGACAACTGCAAGATATCAACACTGTGCTGTTCCTATCAGGTATACACTTTATTTTTACATATCATGTATATGTATAATTTATCAATAATGATGAAATAAGATTAATTCTTATACAGAATATATGCCCTTTTCAAATATTTTCCACCATGTGTTCAAATTAAATCTAGTAAGATGTGTCAACTTATATTTTTATTACAAACATTGTTAAACTTTGCTAAATTCCCTTTTTAAAAGAAAAAAAATGTAAATGTTTAAAGATATCTAACATCAAAAGTTGGCAACGGAACAGAATCATAGATAATATCATCAAAAATAAAACTGTCAGCATCTTTTAATTCTTTTTATATGTCTTAACATTTTATATTCTAGTGAGAGTCAAGTCATGATGCTTGGAGGATATGAAGGTGCCTGGTTATCTCTTGTAGAAGTCTACAGTATTGAAGAGGGATTCATTGCAGAGCTTCCATCAATGCCAACTGCAAGGTAGTTTTGCCAAAATATATCTGAAGACTGAAACATTTAGATATTTTCTATATTATATTTTTCATGATTTTTTTCTGATATTTGTAGTGTCATTCTTAAATTGATGAATATACTTTTTACAAATACTTTCAATTAATGTACAATAATTTACAAAATTAATATAATGAATTTTAATATTCAAATCTAATATTATCAACGATTCATAATCTTAATGATAAATAATCATTTCATACTCTTTGTCTGTTGCTTTCTAAATAAAAAAAAACATTTTATTGCTATTAAAGGAATTGATTTTCTGCCACAAACTCTTAATTTCTAGTTCAAATATCTTTGCAACCCAATGTCATAGACCTTTAAAATTTAAAATAATGAATTATGTAAGATAAAATTTTTTAATTTTGAGAATCAATTGTTTGAACAAATGGGATTAGAAAAATTGGGTCTGTGGCTTAGACTCAGTTCCTTTGTGATAAATTGCATTTATAAAAAATCATATATATATTTACATAACATTTAACTAAGCTTTCTAAATTATATTTATGTAAATATTGTGTTTAATATTTGCTCGTTTAGGTCTGGACTAGGATGCAGCATGTTTAAGGGAGAAATATGGACAGGTGGAGGAGCCCATGATGGATATCTAGATGTTGTAGAAGTATTTAATTCTCTTACAAACACCTGGAGGAGTGGCCCTAAGCTGACCAGGGGGAGATACTACCTTACAATGGAGGTGCTGGACAACAACTTGGTAGTCTTTGGAGGAGGATTTGGTACAGACACATACAGCCTGGAGTTCCTGGATGGTGAAGCGTGGAGGGAGGAACCTCTTCAATATGGACATTATAATCATGCCTCTGTATCGATTCCTTGTAATTGATACAGATGTAGGTTCATTCTATTGTAACTTAGATTAATAATTTGATTCAAAATGATTTCTTTTCTAAAAATAAATTGGAATTAATGCAGCAAGTTCTTGTTGGTTGTTCTAAATAAAACGAAATAAAAGAAAAGGAATAGAGTACAGAAGTTTCAAGTTTCAAATGTCACACTTTGAAACCTAAAAAATATAAATATGCATGCAACAAAAAAAGTTCATATCATTAAATTATCTATGGTTTGATGAAAAATCTATCAAAAAACTATCTATTTGATTCTGGTGTCGAAGAATAGAAAAAGAAGAATGAAATTTATAACATAAGAATATTTGAAAAAAGTGTCACTTTATCAGACTTAATGTCGATTAAAAGTTACCAAAGAATTTTTTTATTTAAAAACTGATTTTGGGTTTTATAAGGAATGTTTAATGACAGTAATAAAAACTTACACTTGACTAATATAATGAAAGATTAAATAAATTTTAAGAAATTCATGTTAGAAAATTGTTAATAATAAGTTCTAATATTATAATTCCTATATCTTTGAAACCTTATGACTATGTTGAAATATCAAAGACTTACATCATCAGGTTGCAAAGAAATGGGGATTTGAGAATAAGAATTTTCGGGAAGTGTTCAATTTCTTCTTAGATGGTTTCAAAATTAATGTTTACATAAACCAACCTGTATATATATCACGCAGTTTTATTACAGTCAGACGTATTAGCTCTTGGTAGAGAGAATAGAGTTTGAGAGAGTTGTACCAGGATTATTACATACTTGAGAATACAGAGAGAATTGTATCTGGATTGATACATACTGGAGAATAGAGAGAGAGTTGTATCTGGATTGATACATACTTTAGAATAAAGAGAGAACTAACTGTATCTGGATTGATATATACTTGATAATAAAGAGAGTTGTATCAGGATTGATACTACATTGAGAATACAGAGAGAGTTGTATCATGATTGATACATACTTGATAATACAGAGAGAGTTGTATCAGGAATAATACATACTTGAGAATAAAGAGAGTTGTATCAGGATTGATACATACTTGAGAATATAGAGAGTTGTATCTGGATTGATAAATACCTGAGAATAAAGAGGGTTGTATCTGGATTGATACATACTTGAGAATATAGAGGGTTGTATCAGGATTGATACATACTGGAGAATATAGAGGGTTGTATCTGGATTGATAAATACTTGAGAATATAGAGGGCTGTATCTGGATTGATACATACTTGAGAATATAGAGAGTTGTATCTGGATTGATACATACTTGAGAATATAGAGAGTTGTATCTGGATTAATACATACTTGAGAATATAGAGGATTGTATCTGGATTGATACATACTTCAGAATAATGAGAGTTGTATCAGGATTGATACAAACTTGAGAATATAGAGGGTTGTATCTGGATTGATAAATACCTGAGAATATAGAGGGTTGTATCTGGATTGATACATACTTGAGAATATAGAGAGTTGTATCAGGATTGATACATACTGGAGAATATAGAGGGTTGTATCTGGATTGATAAATACTTGAGAATATAGAGGGTTGTATCTGGATTGATGCATACTTGAGAATATAGAGAGTTGTATCTGGATTGATACATACTGGAGAATATAGATGGTTGTATCTGGATTGATACATACTTGAGAATATAGAGGGTTGTATCTGGATTGATACATACTTGAGAATATAGCGAGTTGTATCTGGATTAATACATACTTGAGAATATAGAGGGTTGTATCTGGATAGATACATGCTTGAGAATATAGAGGGTAGTATCTGGATTGATACATACTGGAGAATAAAGAGGGTTTTATCTGGATCGATTCATACTTGAGAATATAGAGAATTTTATCAGGATTGATACATACTTGAGAATACAGAGAGAGTTGTATATGTATCGATACATACTTGAGAGTACAGAGAGAGTTGTATCTGGGTTAGAATACAGAGGGAGTTGTATCTGGGTTGATACATATTGGAGAATACTAAGAAAGTTGTATATGGATTGATACATACTTGAGAGTACAGAGAGAGTTTTATCTGGTTTAGAATACAGAGAGAGTTGTATCTGGGTTAATACATAATGGAGAATACAGAGAGAGTTGTATCTGGGTTGTTACATATTTGAGATTAGGGATGGTTGTATCTGGGTTAATATATACTTGATATATTTCACAAATAGCTTTAACTAAAACTATTAGTAATTGTTGAAATTTTTTTTTGGCAAAATTAAATGGTTTAAAATTTAAAATTTGTTTTATTTGTAGCAAAACATAAACAATTAATACATTAACATAATATGGTTGCATTTATTGTACAAAATAAGAAACATTACCAAAATAAAGTATGCATTTTATTTCGGGACAATAGTAGAAATTTACTGAGCACAGACTCTTTGTAAAAGTTAAAGTGACCGGCTATGTAAGGTAGTTGTATTGAGTATGCAGTTTTAAACGTCGAATTTGCGCTCAAACTCAGGATCTACAGACCTTTAAAAAGTTTCAAATGTCTCAATTGAAACCTAAAGAAGTTTTCAACAACACTGCATACTCAGTTCAACTACCTTACATAGCCGGTCACTCCCTTTAACATGAAGAACATATTTCACTAAAAATAATCATTAAAAACTACTGTCATCAGCACAGTGAACCTCAAGACGAGTGCAAAAGGTAAAAATAGAGAAGATGCTCAATGGTAATTACAATCACTTAAGGGAACACCATTATTCAGCTTAATTTTGGATATCTGTACCAAGAAGAGCCAATACAGTTTGACTTTGAAAGTATTGAAATTTTATTCTCTGGAAAAGTGTTCTTCATCAAAATTACAGATAATTCTTTAAATAGACACATTACCCGATTCATATCATGAACTTTAATCAGATTTCTTAATCTTTATAAGATCATTGGGGTTCTTGAAATCCCCGGCCAGGTGATCCCTCATCTCCATGGGAAACCTCTCGTTTATAATTTATCAGATTCAAAGACGAAATTACCGAAATAACACCACCCTGTCTTGCCCCTTTTAATTTCTGGTGATTTCTTCCAAATTATGCCAATGTCGTGGCGTCAGGATATTTCCCGTCGTTGAGATAAGATACATATGCGCTAAACATAGAGGATGAAGAGAAGGAAGAGGTTGAAGAGGATGAAAAGAATGAAGAGGATGAAGAGGATGAAAAGGATGAGAGGATGAAGAGGATGAAGAGGATGAAGAGGATGAAGAGGATGAAGAGGATGAAGAGGATGAAGAGGATGAAGAGGATGAAGAGGATGAAGAGGATGAAACTAAACAATATCTGTGTCCGGAAGCTTGAAGTATGAAATCTCTAGTTTACGCGGGTTAACTGTTGAACCACGAGGAATCAGGGTAAGGCGCGTCAGTTTGTATTTGACCATCAGAGCTCACACATGTGTGCGCGCGCGCTTGTCTCTGATCAGTGTGTAGGGAATGGAGAAACGTGATTAGATTTTGTAGTTATAATGTATCTAAATTAAATACAATAAGACTTAAAAAATATATTTAGGGCGCATAATTTATTCAATTAAAAAAAAAATTCGTAGATTTTTACTGTCTGCTCTGTTTATGAAATGTCCTTTATTTGAAGTTTTCTGTCTATAAAATATTCTATCTATGAAATTTTCTGTCTATAGAATATTCTGTCTATTAAAGTTTCTGTCTATAAAATATTCTGTCAATGAAATATTCTGTCTATGAAATATTCTTTAAATGAAAGGTGCCATGACAAACTCCTGAGAGACAAACTCTTGACAAGACAAACTCATGAAAATACAAACTCCTGAAAGACAAACTCCTGAAATTATGAAATTTTTCTCTGTATAAATATGATAAAATTCATAAACTTTAGGAGAAAAAATCCGCAAATATCCTAGAAAAAATTTTCAATCTTTAGTAATTTGAATATGCTTCGAGCAGCAAAGTATTACAATGCTAAGAATAACCAGCAAATTTATTATTATTTATTTTTTATTATTTAGGATTAGGTTAGGTTAAGACACTTTCTGGGCCGAGCGGTGCGGCGAGGACAGGCTAGGGGGCCGAGCGCTGCAGCCATGGGTTAGGTTAGTTAAGACACTTTCTGAGCCGAGCGCTGCGGCTAGGACAGGTTAGGGGGCCGAGCGCTGCGGCCACATGGTCAATTATATCCATGTCTAACATATAAGATCCATGTACAAAATTGAAAGAGAAATATTCTGTCTATGAAATATTCTGTCTATGAAATATTCTGTCAATAAAATATTCTGTCTATGAAATATTCTGTCATTGAAATATTCTTTCTATGAAATAATCTGTCAATGAAATATTATGTCTATGAAATATTCTGTCTATGAAATATTCTGTCTATGAAATATCCTGTCAATGAAATATTCTATCTAATAAATATTCTGTCTTTGAAATATTCTAACTAAGAAATATTCTATCTAAGAAATATTCTGTCTATGAAATATCCTGTCAATGAAATATTCTGTCTATGAAATATTCTGTCTATGAAATATTCTGTCTATGAAATATTTTGTCTATGAAATATGCTTTTATGTAATATTTGTGTATGAAAGATTTACTCGCAACTTTTTTAAGTTAAACATATTACAGTGCATCCCAGATCTATATGAATACATAGACTGTCATAAGTTTTTTGATAATTTTAAAGAACCTTCTTTTATCATTAATTCAAGGTAAACAATATGAATGCAATTGATATGTTAATGTTAAACTCATTTTCCGCGGCATTTGATCTTATACATGCAATATGACATTATAAAACCCTTGCTATTACTTCACATATCTGGGATTCACTGTATCCAGACTGCCCAAATTAACTTTTGAAGTCATTTTCCACAATAAATTCATGTCTGGATCGTTATGAAATTGAAAAAAAAAATGAAAAAAAGTGTTCTTGAGATTCCTATCTCCGTCTTTTATATTTGTATAGTTGCGGCAAAAAACATAAACATAAATAAATTAAAAAAGATGCAAAAGAGAAAATGTTTAAGTATGCTCAATTAATCACGTTTTTAAACCTAACCAAATATTTTGGTTTGCAAATTTGTGTTGCGTGTTTTGTTCAAATATAATCGGTATTTTACATAAAATTAGCTTCATACATATACGCTATTTACGAGAAATGTTTACGCATATTAAGCGTGTATATTTTAATTGTTTACATTAAAGAAAATTAAATTACTGAAAAGCTGGAAGATTGGTTGTAAACATGTTTATGTACAGAATACCAAGGTTGTTTTTTCTGTATAATGGGACAGGTCGCAATTTTCATTCAAGGGTTATGTATTTTGTATAAAAATAATAAATAGACCGAGAGTTTTGAATATTCTGGCGTTTAGGAATTCCTGAACACTAGACCGAGAGTTTTGAATATTCTGGCGTTTAGGAATTCCTGAACACTAGACAGAGAGTTGTGAACATTTTGGTACTAAATAGAAATTCCTTTACATAGACATAGAGTTGTGAACATTCTAGCGTTAGAAATTCTTGAACACTGGACAGAGAGTTGTGAACATTTTGGCACTAAATAAAGAGTTTAGAACATGCTGACGTTTACATTTTGGTATTTAGAAATTCCTGAACACTAGACACTTAGTTTGGCACATTCTAGGGTTTAGCAATTCCTGTACATAGACATAGAGTTGTGAACATTCTAGCGTTTAGAAATTCATGAACACTGAACAGAGAGTTTTGAACATTCTGGCGTTTATAAATTCCTGAACATAGACAGAAAGATGTGAACATTTTGGCGTCCCTTCAATAATTTCTAACAGTCTCTTTAATAATTCCTAACCGTCCCTTTAATAATTCCTAACCATCCCTTTAATAATTTCTACCCGTCCCTATCATAATTTCTAATTGTCCCTTTAATAATTTCTAACCGTCCATTTAATAATTTCTAACCGTCCATTTAATAATTTCTAACAGTCCTTTTAATAATTTCTAACCGTCCATTTAATAATTTCTAAACATATGATTGCTTCCCTTCTGTCATCTCTGATATAATTATAATTAAGTCCATATGTTCGTTCAACTAGAAATTATTTCTTAATTAAATATTTGAGATGAATCCTCAAGAAAATGATAAATAGAGCATATGTGTAGAGCATATGTGTATCTTGACCAAACTATCCTGAAGATGGATGTAAAGCTAGAGCTGGGGCACGTTCATCGTTCGTTTTTTTTAATCGTTCAAAATTATCGTTAATTTTTCATCCATTTCGTTCGTTTTCTTCCAGAACGAAAGTTTAGAAAAATCTTTTGTTCAGTAAAAAAACTATCTTTTTTTCAAAATCTTTTGGAAAATTAGGTCGTTTAGTAAAAAAAATTTAAGATCCTTCGAACGATTTAAAATTTTTGTTGGTTGAGAAAACGATGCGCATCTCTAGTATAGCTCGTAAAGTTAATTACAAACCTATTCTGAATTTCAGATTTTTTACATTAAGATGATCACTGCGTTTCATCTGAAGTACCTGGCAGAACTCCAAGCACAGGAGGAATTTCATATTACAGTATTCAAGTAAACCAACGGGGACGAAATGGGACAAAGTGACATTTGAATAGCTAACCTTTGTTTTGTGAGATCCAATTAATAAATCCCACTCATCTCTCTTTATCTATGTCTGTTAATAGGTCTATATCCAAACCAGGATTATGGTCTAGTTTGATATCAATCCTTATTGGGACCCTGGTAATGTTTTCTCTCCCACTGATCTAGACCATCAACAATCCCATAAATTCATCAACTTAAAGGATTCAAATAGTGGGAGGACAGAAGAGTTTAGAAGGAAAGCAGAAAGGTTTAGAATGGGTGCAGAAAGGTCTCACTAAGCTTTTGGTCTGGTCTACAGTGATTTGCAGTATTCTGACCCAATAAATAGTGGATTTTAGTGGAAAATGGTCTAGAGGGTATGCAGAAATGTTTAGAGGATATGCAGACATGTCTAGATTGTCTAGCAGAAAGACCTAAAACATAAATTCTAATGTCTTTATCGTCCTAGCAAAACCATCCAACGACAGTTCGACATATCGAACACTCAGTAAGAATAAGCTGACACAGCACCACCAAGCAACCACTCTAAAAGTAGCATGATCCGAACCGGTACACCGTGAACTGAATGTCCAGTCTGGACTACCCAGTGTAGAGTCGACCCAGCACGTTTTATGAAACAAATGTAGCCTGGCAAGATCGATGATAGTGACAAACTTCTCACCGTATACAAATTGCCTTGCAGTGTTTCTGCAGTGAAAACTGAAGTTGTTTATATCCAGTGATCCTGACATCCATGCAGTAATCTTCTATGTTTATATCCGCGCGGTGAAGAATGCGCAAACTGGATATATCCCAGTATATACCTGTTATATCCCTTGTATCTGGATACACAAGGGTAAAGTTAAAAGATGATATTGTATCCTCGTTATGTTCTGTGGTTCTAACTGCTCCTCTATGCTTAGCTCTATCCCTTACCCTGGGCTGCAGGCCTGATATCCTACTTCTCTCAACCGGTAAAATAAAAAATTTTTTTTTTTAAATCAAAATAAAAATCATTTGCAAAAAAATACAAAAATAAATAATTATATGATGAAAAAAATTATTTTCAAATGATAATTTGTGTAAAGATATTACGTAAACACGATTCCCAAATCAAAATTTGAGACACATCAGACAATGGACTCCTTAGTTAAGATGGAATATCCAAACAAACAGATTATTACTTTAAATAAATGATAAAAAAGTGTGTGGGTTTACAATTTAAACAAACCATTGTCCGAATTTAATGAATTTAAGTCGCGTTTCAATTCCTCCAAAAACCTGTTTGAATTGAGCGCCGGCTTAAATCTTGAAAAATTAAATACAATTTTAAGTGGAACAAACTATATTTGAGTCCCGGCTTGAATTTAAGCCGCGGCTCAAATTCTTTAAATTCGCCCTAGAATTGCATACAAATGGCTCATTTGCAATATCTCCAAATATTTCTCATGGAATTTAAAAACCGGCGTTTTAAAGGTTTCTTTTTTGGTTTAACCAATCACTATGAGTTGGGTTCACAGATTTCATAGACAGGACAAGAAACCCTAACCTTGAGTTTATTTGAATTTGCACGACTTCTATAGTGCAGGGTTAGAATAGCAAAGTACTAAAATTTGAGTGTACAGTTGTTGTACGGATGATTTGTCTACGGTTGCAATTGAGTCGTCATTTCTTTATCTGTGTACAACATATCTTTGTAAATCTTGGTCTAGCTGTGCTATCCGTGATTAAATCTTTATCCGTGTACCGATGTATCTCCAAGTAAATTTTGTTCTATCTATAATATATGTTTATTGTTTAATCTTGGAATGAACCATTGTATCCTTTTAAATCTGCGTAAACTGTGATTAAATCTTTATCTAAATTAATGAAATTTTGTGATCTTTTCCCGTCTGAGTAAACTATGGGTAAATCTTTATATGTATCAATTTTTTCTTTTGTTCAATCTGTGTAATCTGTACTAATTTGTGTAAATCTTGTTCCATCTATAGTAATCTGTAGTTTGATCTTTATCTGTACCATGTATCATTGTATTCTTATTTGTTTCTATTTAAAACAATAGAAACAAAGAATCAGACCGTGTTCCTAAAATGGAAACTATAACAATAACCTTTATGGTTCCTTTATGGTTCTGTTTTAACCGTTGTGAGTTTTTACTAAATAAACTGTATTTAGAACTTATGTTTTATATTCACAATAACACATTACTGCTTAGTAAAGGAGACACTTGCTGAATTTTTTGTTTTTATCATTATTATAATTTTTTTTAATCGCTAAATGTATTCTAGGTATATATTCTCTGCTATTATGCCTGATGTCCCCTTCTATAAGTATGACGGCCTGCCCATCACTACCTCTCCTCCTCCTGTACACCTCCTCTCCCTCCTCCCTCCCATCTGCCTCCCTATCCCTCCTCATCTCTTCAGGACTTCTTATCCTCCTCGCAGTCTTAAAAATAGGTTAGTTGTTGGTGTAATTCACGATAAACTAAAGTTATTTGCATGTCAAACAAAACCTGAACGATCCTAGTTTCGACTGTACCGCCAATTTACAATTACTAAAGCGTTAGACTCGTGTGACGTAAGATTAAGAAAATTTAATGTTTCAGTCATAACTTCTCTTGTTGTAGAGTTGTTAACAAGAAAGTCAAAATTCTTATTTGTAATTCCAGAGCTGAAAACTTTAGAATGAAATATCCAGATATCCCGTCGAATAATTAATCTGAAGATTAAAATCATGCATTAATCAAGCAATATTTAATCTCGAGATTAAGAAAAAGAGTGGATTAAGCCTTAATCCTGATATCCATCATTCTAAAGTTTTCAGCTCTGATAATATTGCTTTTCTTATACTTTTGTATAGTCGCAAACTCAAACCAGATAATTCACTTATCTAACCGTATTATCGCAATCGAATAATTCTATTGATCTTCAAATAATCAAATGAGATAAAGTTTATAAGGGTTTAGCGTCGATTAAAGTTTCTCTTGGTTGGAGTTAAAGGAAATGTAAGCGTAACTTTACGTAACCCTCCATGCTAAAATGTCAATGCCCGATTCACAACGGTACCTTAAAAACCGGTTAATCGGATCAATAAGTTTGAAGATATTGTCGCTTTGAAAGTGTAAGTTTTGACTGATAATTTATACACATATTTTTTCATGCGGTAGTCGACTTTGAAGCGTCATAACGCCTTGATCTGTGATTTAACCTCGTTAACCCATGTGTTCTTAGCTTTAGTTCTTCGAATCTGAAAATCTGCTTGATTTTGATAACTGTGAGTCGATCCCCCCCCCTCCCCTCCAATGTGAACATGGGCCTTGTTATTTTATGTCCGGCCGTTGAAAATAAATTCTTTGAAGTTTGGTCTAAAATATGTAAAATAATGTTGGAATATGTTAAATTCGAAATTACAGGGAACAAAATGGTATATATGTGAATTCATATTTTTATGAATTTTCCATTTTGTTTTCATGATTTTAATATGATAGAGTTGGCACCTAGCACCGCTCTAGATGATGATCAATTTTTTATCCAAAATAAAACCATTATTTTCAAACAATTTTGCTGGAACAGTTTAACAGCATGATAGGGTTTCATGCTTATAAGATATGATAAAGTAATTGATATTTCCCCTTTGTGTTAAACTAGCATTACTCTGCAATAAGAAGACGACTTATAGACTAAAGTTTCGCCATTAAATTGGCATAATGGAGATCAAGGGTAGGAGCACTGCTATTTCATATAAAAGAACATAAGTTGAATTAGGGGGATGGGGGGGGGGGGTTATATTCTTTGCCCCTTTCCCGTTTGTAAATTAGGGGAAAGCATTTGTTTGATTTTGATTAAGCAATTTTAGGGGGAGAATAGTCGATACTTCCCCCCTAATTACGTATTTTAGGGGGAGAATAGTCGATACTTCCCCCCTAATTACGCTATTTTAGGGGGAGAATAGTCGATACTTCCCCCCTAATTACGCTATTATAGGGGGAGAATAGTCGATACTTCCCCCCTAATTACGACCCCATGACCCCTCCTTGTATAGGTTATATATGGTTATATTTTAGGGGAGAATAGTCGATACTACCCCCTAATTACGACCCCATGACCCATAAACAATAAACATATTTACTCCATTCATTTACCCTATACTCCAAAAGTAAAATAAGCATTTTTTTATTCCGAGGCGCATTTTCTTTCTCATGAACACTTTTACCCTTTGTCATGAACACATTTTATGAACAATAGAAAAGTCGCTGAAGTGATTTTATTCTTCATAAAACCTTACATTTTATAAATCGATTTATGATGATTTTTGATAAGAACACATGCACCTTTGTCTTGCGTATCTTTTCTCTGTTTAAAAGTTATATACACCCATTTCACTAAATTATTGGTTTAATAAGTGTCTAGTAAAACTATTTGCTTTTTAACAACATCAAATACATATTTGCATATTGTCGTCTTTTTATTCCATAGTTTTCTGGTTATCATTGTACAAACTTTTTTATTGTCTTCTTTTGGATCACGTATTTTTTCTTTACTCAATCACTAGAACTACGAACCGGGAAATGGGCTCTAGAGTTCCTTTAAAATTGGTTCAAAATAATTTGTTGGATATCGTTTCCTGAACTTTGATCCCTGATCAAGAAGATTGGGGTTTAAGTGTGATTTAGAGTTTGGTTCTAATTCGTCTCAAAATATAATATTTGTTCACGGTTGTTAAGTTCCTTATTCAGGGGATATTAAGCTGGTAGAGAGGGATGTAAACATTATAATTTTTTTTTAGGTGTTTTTTTAAAGTGTTTTTTAATTGTCTCTAATTGTGATAATTCTTCTGGATACTTTCAGCTTTTTTATTGAATCTGATTATTGATCTCTCTTGAATTAATTGGTATTCCGAAAGCTGCCCCCCCCCCTCCTTCCCCCAATACCCTCCCCCCTGGGAGGGTAAATAAAAAGCTGCCTACTGTTTTATTTGCAATAAAGATCTAAGAGTACAATACCTAGAGGGGAAAGGAATAAAATAAAGAAATGAAAACTGTAATGGGAAGGATGAATCAAGATGAAAGATCAATGTGAAGAAAGACGGAATGAATATGAAGGATGAATGTAGATAAATGAAGATGAAGATGAGGAATGAATGGAGATGAAGAATGAATGAAGATGAAGAATGAATGAAGATGAAGAATGAATGAAGATGAATGAAGATAATGGATGAATGAAGATGAATGAAGATGAATAATCAATGAAGATGAAGAATCAATGAAGATGAAGATGAAGGATGAATGAAGATGAAGAATGAATGAAGATGAAGGATGAATGAAGATGAAGGATGAATGAAGATGAAGTATGAATAAAGATGAAGCATGAATGAAGATGAAAGATTGTGAGATTTATTCTAAGAAAAATTATGACATTTTTCTTAATATATTTCATATATTTTCTTATATATTTTGTTCAGATGATCTTTTTTTCAGGGAAAGGTAGGAATTTGTTTTATTTTATTTTAAAACACCGCGACTGAGTAGCAATGCAATGTTTTAGGAATGTTTTTAAACCCTTCTTATTTTGACCTAAACCCAGAATCTTCACATTTTTACAAAGTTTTTACCTTTTTCTCAATTTACATCGGACCTTCTGGCATTCTCGTTTCCTTTCAAATCTTCCAGGCTGGGTTTAAAATACTACGCCACATAAATGTCAATGTTCAAATGGAAAATAAAACGTGCTTCGAATTTTATAACAGAACTTTGTATGCATAGGTCACATAAAATCTATTTAATTTGAAGTAGTTTGTTCAATAAACTTTAAAAGCAAACCATTTGTGTGTAGAGTGTATTTACGTGTATCAATGTTTACTGTTGAAAATAAATGACTAAATATATCTGTTCAACACGTTTTTCTTATTTGTTTACGCTCAGGAATTTATATGTGTTAATGAAAAGTGTACAATCTTGTCAATTTTGATTATTTTCTAATACAATGGAAAAAGGAATATATATTTTTATGATTACATTTATTAATAAAACATTATGGAAGGTTTTGTTTACAAACAAATGTATTAAATGATAATTTTAAATAATGTTTAAAGTGTCCGTCCTCATTCTCTGCTCTAGTATGCCGAGTCCATTAGCGCCTGATCCAATCAGGGTTCAGCCATGTGTTTGGTGTCTATTCTGAACCAATAGAAATTGCAAGGCGGTTACATCTATCTTTCTATCTATCTCAGTATCCAATTAGAGATAAATCCTTATATCGGCGCTATAACAGTAAATGGAAATATTCACTCCAAAGTGTCTCTTGTGACGCTGTTTGCAAAATTCTCCACGACTTTCTTCATCTGGTCCAGAGACTTCTAGGTTTGGCATCAAAAGTACACTTCTCAGCTGTACCCCAGAAGAAAAATCCATTGGGTGGATTTATGTCCGGGCTCTTGACAGACCTGAAGAATTCCAGACGGTTGGAGATGATGCGGTTCTGGAAATTATCCGGAAGATACCATAGATAAATAAATAAACATAGATAGTTTATGTACGTAAAACAACCAAGAACTGTACAGTCCGCGAACTCATACTTCTAGGGGTCAAAGTGTACTTCAATGATAAGCTGGGTGATTTGGTGTTTTAATGGATTTCATAATAGAGTGTAAAATAACTCCGGGAAAGGAACTATTTGAACAACAATATTTCACTTAGCAATCATATTGACGAGAACTGAAGAAGGACATGAGAAGGACTAAACTAACTTAAATTTCTCTCTACAGAACTCATGTACACCACAAGTACTCAATGACATAAGAACAGCCAATGTTCACAACCGACCAAGGTAATCTATATAATAGGAATATCTTTAAAACATCTCTGCACATTTATATCTTTCAAGATGAAAAATCTCGTCTTATGCGAATCTATCTTTATCTAGAAGAAACTCCAAACAATCATTATGGATCAAACTTCAAGATCTTGTGCATAGTTTTGTGTATGATAGAAGTAGACATTTCCAGAGAATAGCTTTCCTTTCTTAATTTTTCTAATGGTGTCTTCGTAAAGAACTTCTTCACAAGGGTCTCCTTAACTCCACCCAATGTTGGCCTATAATTATCTTTCCTTAGATATTGAATGGTTCCACCTCTTTTAAATAGTATATATTTTCAAATGATATATATTTTAGTTTTAAACTTGTAAACAGAAGAGTAGATACCAGTTTCGGCTGAATAGTTTTATTTGAAGGTTTAAAGTAAAAAAATATGAAAACTAAAATCTGTTCTGAGATGCCATTAATTTCTTTATTTATCCATGTTTTTGCGGATTGGTAGAAATTCAGTAACCTCCCATAATAAGCGTTCCATATGTTTTTTTTTCAAAACGGAATTCTAACAAATTCTAACAAGATCAAATGTGTATGTACAACATTACAGTTTGTTTGTACTACTAAATCCCTATATTTTTGCATCCTAGTGGTATAAACTTTTGATTTTTCAAACTTAGACTATTTCACCTTACATAATTCATTGTTTTAAAAAGTAAAGGTATACGACATAGGATTTCAAAGATATGGGAATTAGAAAATCAGAGTTTGTTGAAAGAACTCAGTTCCCTTGATATAAGTAGCTGGACTAACTACCGTCGATACAAATACTTATCTATAGTTCTGCATGTTAATTGTTAAGACAAGGACAAATCCTACATCCCCAATTCAAGATCGTGGTTGAACCGTCTCCAGACCTGGCTCAAATTCATTAAATCTGGTCGCATAGAGCTTTAAAGGGATCTCAGAGTTTGCGCTTAAACTATGTTTTATTGCATTAGGTTCACTGATCTGTATTTTCTAATATTAGAGTTACGATACCTTACTTTTCTCGTTAAAGTCTCCAATATTTTAGTTTATCTTTAAAAAAAGTATACCTGAAAAAAATAATGATAAGAATAATTCCGTTTAAAATGATAAAAATAATAATTATATTGCTTCTACTACTTCTAATAATAATTATGATAATAATAATAAGAATATCTATATAATGATGATGATAATATTGTATATATTTTATTCCAGGAGATGTTTCTCGTTATGTTTCCCCGACTGTTCTCACAGGACTAGGATGCAGCAGTATGTTTCTTATATCGAGCTATTCAAGTATTGGCATGCTGGGCATGCAACCATCTCAACCTCCAGGTATGCCAAACTATAATGGATTATTGGCATGCTGGGCATGCAACCATCTCAACCTCTAGGTATGCCAAACTATAATGGATTATTGGCATGCTAGGCATGCATTAATCTCAACCTCCAGGTATGCCAAACTATAATGGATTATTGGCATGCTGGGCATGCAACCATCTCAACCTCTAGGTATGCCAAACTATAATGGATTATTGGCATGCTAGGCATGCATTAATCTCAACCTCGAGGTATGTCAAGCTATTGGCTACTTATTTTGGCATTAAAATCTGAAATTATATTTAATTTTTTTAAGCCAGCTTGGACAATTTTAATAAGATCCTTATCTGTTCCCTCTGCAAATTTAGAAATAAGAGTCAGGATTTTAGAAGTAAATTTTTGTATTAAATCAAAATTATTTTTAATTGAAATGTATAATTTTTACTGCCACAATTTCAGCAGCAAAGGCCCTTTTCAAGGGAGAAGAGTGAAACTAACCTTGAATTCGTCTCGTCATATGTATTTTATCTGTTGTTTTAGGTAATGTACTGTCCATTGTACAGTACATGTATACATGTTATCTTAATATACAAGCTTAATTTTAGGTAATGTACTGTCCACTGTACAGTACATGTACACAAATTATCTTAACATAAAAGCTTAATTTTAGGTAATGCACTGTCTTCTGTACAGTATATATACACAAACCATTTTTATATAAAACTTGTTTTTAGGTAATGTACTGTCTGCTGTACAGTATATGTACACAAATCATCTTAATATACAAGCTTGTGATGCAGCTTTAGGATTCTCTGCGCTGGGTATCCTCATTGCTATAAAGGTATTTAGCTCAATATAGACCTTTTTTTAAATATGGCTTTCTTCCCATAATTTCAGATTATCTCCAAGATTTCATCCCTAAAAATTTTGATAAACTTTTTAACATCCTTTAAATTGAATTTTGGATTTCTAAAATCCCAATTTAAACTATCAATTTACATTGTAAAGCATTGTAAATTTAAAGCTATCAATTTACACTGTAAATTTAAAGATATCTATTTTCATTGTAAATTTAAAGCTATCTATTTACTTTGTAAATTTAAGCCTATCTATTTACGTTGTAAATTTAAAGCTATCTTTTTACATTGTAAATTTAAAGCTATCTATTAACATTGTAAATTTAAAGCTATCTATTAACATTGTAAATTGTACAATAATATTTCTGGGCCTGCTGTCTGTTTAATAATTATGTTAAGAAACTTCATCCATCTCTACCCCCCCCCTCCCTCTACTACTCCCTTTCTCCCTCCCCCTCTTCTTTTAACCCCCACCCCCATCAAATAACCCATTCAAGCACTCTTTCCTTCCCTCTCCTTTACCCTCCACGTTCTTCACCCTTCCTTCCCCCAAATTTACCCCTTCCTTACATCTAGTTTACACCCCCCCCTCTTCATTTCCTCCCCTCCCCTTTCATCTATGCATTAAGTAATTAGTTTATGTTTAGGCACTGCCTGGAGTATATATAGGAGAGGGACCTGATCTAACCACCATCAAATCTAGACTAGTTCGCAACATTAAACTCATTCTCTCAATCTCAAGATTCTTCATCCTTCTCCTCATCTCCATCCTTCTCTCCTCCGCTCTTTCAAACACCTTCACCACCTTCCCCTCCTTCCCCCCTCCTCCCCCCTTCCAGTGCCCCTGGAGTGTGGAGGGGGTGGGAGGGGTTCTCCTGAAATCTGTGCTCCTGGCTGTTCTAGCTGTGTCGATAGGAATGAAGATAATAAATGAAATATTTCAACTTTTTACTTATTTTCATAATTAAACTATAATAGAGCTGGAAACTAAAACAGGGTGTCTCAACATTATTATTAAAATGTTTAAATTTAGAAAATGTTAAAACTTTAAAAGTTCTTAGCTGGGAACTTTAAAATTGGATGCCCTTAATACCGTTCGCTTAATCTGAATATCCATTGTGGACACTTCTGATTGGCTGTTCGGAATTATGCATAAGTCACTCTATTGGTTGAATTGTATACAGTTTTCAGGGCTAAAAACTAAAGATTAAAATAATTTTGAAATTAATCAAAAGAGGAGACCAAGCCTTGAACTCGGTATCCACAATTATATAGTTGTCAGCGTTGATGACATTTTTTTCTGATAAGAACTTTGCTTTTCTTAAAAATCGAATAAATGGATTTAAACACCCTGTAGTAGGAAGCAGGCATATATTGCAGCAAATATATGTTCGCGTTTTATTTGTTACACTTTGAGGGTTATAGAGCTTATGCAGGTGTATAGATTTATGATATATTGTAACTTTTAGGTTTATTAAAGGTATAAAGAACAACTAATGTAAAAGCTCCAGGACTTGTTATAAGGATACGGGTTCCGGGTTCCCTTGTATTATAAGGATACGGGTGCCGGGTTTCCTTGTATTATAAGGATTCGGGTTCCGGGTTTCCTTGTATTATAAGTATATTGGTTCCAAGTTTCCTTGTATTATAAGGATACGGGTTCCGTGTTCCCTTGTATTTTAAGGATACATGTTCCGGGTTCCCTTGTATTATAAGGATACGGGTTCCGGGTTCCCTTGTATTATAAGGATACGGGTTCCGGGTTCCCTTGTATAATAAGGATACGGGTTCCGGGTTCCCTTGTATTAAAAGGATACGGGTTCCGGGTTCCCTTGTATTATAAGGATACGGGTTCTTTCCATATTCTTTTATAACCAAAATTTGAAAAATGTGTTTGAAGTTCTAATTGTTTTACTCATTAACAAAGATTTTGCATTGATACTTTGTAACCAAGAACAAACTCTTTTTGCAGAAAAAGCATAAACTGCACCTTTGCGCTGTCCTTTTAGAAAAATAACACTTAGAACGCGTAATATAAATGATATTTAAAAAATGTCTTTTATGAAATATTTTGCTCACTAGAAGTGGTAATGAATTAATAGAATTAATTCTGTTTAATATTTTGTTTTTAAATTCCATTGTTTATTTCAAAATCATATAGTTTCCTTCAAAAAGATGCAGACAAAAAAACTTTAAATCTTTCTCTATTTTTTTAAAGGTTTAACTATATCATAATTCTAAAAGTAATTGTAAACTGTTTTTCTACCCACAAAGGATGAAATTCAGAAACAACTACGAAATCTGTTTCCTTATATTCATAACTCCGTACAACTGTAGTCTTCTTTCATTCTTTGCCAAATCATTAAATATGGCATTACAAGTTTACATGAAAGGCAGTAGACTTAATTTAACCTATGAACCGTTGTATTATATGAGTTTCAGGTCGTCTTTATATTCTCATCCTTTTTTGGTAACCCTGTATTCTCTTATTGAGGAGTTATGGGATAAATGTGTACCACACTACAGCATAATTGTTATTAAATTATGAAACTCTAGCAAGCAAACTGTCGAATTAAGACAGAGATCGGCTCTGGAAATGTCTCAAACGAATTTATCATAAGCCTCATAGATTCACATTTCTTTTTTTCTTTGAGATAAGATGTTATGCGACATTAATAAAAATAAAAATAAAAAACAAGAATGAATATGTTGAATATCTTCTGATGTACAGACCAGGAGAACTTTTCTGACCTAGAACCTGGAGACTCTAACTTATCCTCCAGGATTCAAGCTATCTCCAACCTTGTCTCCAGTTGTCTAGGTTCACCTCCAGTTTCCAGTATACCAGCTCCAGTCCATGCTTCTACTCCTTTAGTTCACCTTTTTTCAGGTTGGGTCTTTAAAGGGAGTGACCGCGTAGACATGGTAGTTGAGCTGAGTGTGTAGTATTGTAGAGATTTTTTTAAGAATTCATTTGAGACCTATTTGACATATTCACGTGTAAAATTGTCCAGCAAGTGCTGAACTACCATGTCTACATGGTCACTCTCTTTAATTAATTCATGCAACTAATCAAAACAACTGATATCTTGCCACAAACTCTTAATCTTTAATTTCAAATCTCGTTAATTTCGCAACCTGATGGTGTAAACCTTTGATATTTCAATCTAGCACGAACTGCATGGTATCTTGCCACAGACGACATCAGGTTGCCAAGCTGATAAGAATTAGAAAATTAGAATTACTTTGTACAGTGGAGAGATTGATTCTAAAGATAACTAATTTCGTTGATTTTTAGGAATAATTCTGATAACAGCTGGGCAAACTGTTCCCTTGTTAATACAGTTTATTCCAACATCAGTTCTATTCTCTTCTCTCATCTCCTTCTCTATCCTTCTACCAAACATTAATACACTGGTTACACTGGGTAGATTTGATAGTAAGTTTGCTATATTTTAAATTTTACTTTTTTGAAGGGACTGTTCCACGTTTCTTTAAGCAATTCCTCTGTTTAAAAAGTCACTTGCCTGATTCGCAACGGAAAACTTTATCTTTGTAAAAATGTGTTTTTTTACTTAAAACGGATTTATCCAGTTATGGACTTAAAAAGGTCTAAAAGAATTTAGTTCATCTCTTTCGGAAATTGAACTTTCACAGCAGTTTGTCATTGCACGTTGTTAGCCTCATTATATTTTTACTATTTCTGATTATTTCTTGGATTTATTTTCAAAAGTATTTCTATGATCTATCTTCAGATAAAACCACTTTGCATATTCATAAAATCTAATTTTGTGTAATATAAGAAATCTCGCCAAATTTGTGCACATGGACATAATTCAAAATGTTAAACGAAAAAGTTGGTTGAATCTTGAAGGATCAATCTTGAGCGTGCATAGATTGGGTTTGTGCGTGCTTGCGCTTTAAGAATATTGTTTGTTAGAGAGCGAGCCTCTGCGCACGACTAATTAATTCTTGATGTTTTTATTTAAGTATTTTCAAGGCAGTACTAAGCATGAGATAGAGTTAAATTTGTCTCTACTCGTGATATCATCATTAAAGGGAAACTATTCAAGATAAATCCTCTTCATACCCTAGCTCTTCTCTTCTTCATACCCTAGCTCTTCTCTTCTTCATACCCTAGCTCTTCTCTTCTTCATACCCTAGCTCTTCTCTTCTTCATACCCTAGCTCTTCTTCTCTTCATACCCTAGCTCTTCTTCTCTTCATACCCTAGCTCTTCTTCTCTTTATACCCTAGCTTTTCTCTTCTTCATACCCTATTCCTTCTCTTCTTCATACCCTAGCTCTTCTTCTCTTCATACCCTAGCTTTTCTCTTCTTCATACCCTAGCCCTTCTACTCTTCATACCCTAGCTCTTCTTCTCTTCATACCCAAGCTCTTCTTCTCTTCATACCCTAGCTTTTCTCTTCTTCATACCCTAGCTCTTCTCTTCTTCATACCTTAGCCCTTCTCCTCTTCATACCCTAGCTTTTCTCTTCTTCATACCCTAGCCCTTCTCCTCTTCATACCCTAGCCTTTCTCTTCTTCACTCTCCAGCCCTTCTCCTCTTCATACCCTAGCTTTTCTCTTCTTCATACCCTAGCTTTTCTCTTCTTCATACCCTAGCCCTTATCTTCTTCATACCCTAGCCCTTCTCTTCTTCACTCTCCAGCCCTTCTCTTCTTCATACCCTAGTCCTTCTCCTCTTCATACCCTAGCTCTTCTTTTCTTCATACCCTAGCCCTTCTCTTCTTCACTCTCCAGCCCTTCTCTTCTTCACTCTCCAGCCCTTCTCTTCTTCATACCCTGGCCCTTCTTTTCTTCATACCCTAGTCCTTCTCCTCTTCATACCCTAGCCCTTCTTTTCTTCATACCTTAGTCCTTCTCCTCTTCATACCCTAGCTCTTCTTTTCTTCATACCCTAGTCCTTCTCCTCTTCATACCCTAGCTCTTCTCTTCTTCATACCCTACCCCTTCTCTTCTTCACTCTCCGGCCATTCTCCTCTTCATACACTAACTCTTCTCTCCTTCACTCCCCAGCCCTTCTCTTCGTCATACCCTAGCTCTTCTCTTCTTCATACCCTATCTTTTCTCATCTTCATACCCTAGCTCTTCTCCTCTTTACTCCCCAGTCCTTCTCTTCTTCAAACCCTAGCACTTCTTTATTACACTCCCCAGCCCTTCTCTCCTCCACTCCCCAGCCCTTCTCTTCTACACTCGCCAGTCCTTTTCTTTTGCACTCCCCAGCTCTTCTCTTCTTCATACCCTATCTTTTCTCTTCTTCATACCCTTGATCTTCTCTTCTTCATACCCTAGCTCTTCTCTTCTTTACTCCCCAGTCCTTCTCTTCTTCATACCCTAGCACTCCCCAGCCCTTCTCTTCTCTACTCCCAAGCCCTTCTCTTCTACACTCCCCAGCCCTTCTCTTCTGCACTCCCCAGCCCTTCTCTTCTTCACTCCCAAGTCCTTCTCTTCTACACTCCCCAGCCCTTCTCTTCTTCACTCCCCAGCTCTTCTCTTCTACACTCCCCAGCCCTTCTCTTCTACACTCCCCAGTCCTTCTCTTCTTCACTCTCCCGCCCTGATCTTCTTCGATCACACCATATAGCCCACTCTACTTTACTCCCCAGTCCTTTCTTTTCCACTCTCCATCTCTTCTTTTCTTCTCTCCTTATCTCTTCTCATCTCTTCTCCTCATCTCTTATCTTCTTCTCCCCCCATCCCTTCTCGTTTCTTCTCCACTCCCCACTCTCCTCCCATCCCTTCTCTTCTTCTCCTATCCCCATCTCTTCTCTTCTTTTCTCCTCATCTCTTACCTTCTTCTCCCACCATCTCTTCTCTTCTCTTCTCCACTCCCTATCTCTTCTCTTCATTTCACCCCATCTCTTCTCTTCTTCTTCTCTCCTCATCTCTTCTCTTCTTCTTCTCTCCTCATCTCTTCTCTTCTTCTCTTCTCATCCCTTATCTTCTTGACTCCCCAATCCCTGCTCTTCTTTAAATCCCTTTCTCATCCCAATCTTCTCTCTTAATTTCTTTGCTTTTTCTTTCCCCATATCTTCTCTTCCTTTCTCCCACTTATTTTCCACTTCCCTTTATATTATTAAACTCCTCAAACTCTTTTTCCCCATAAAGATAATTCTTATATTTTCAGGACCGTTGTTCCTTGTCTGCTCCGGAACTGTGGTTGTAAGTCTCCTGGTTCACACCCTAGCAGGGGTTCTAGTAGGAGTAGGGTTGGATCTAGTTCTCCTGGTTCACAGGTTTACTAGGACCAGGATACAGGATCAACAGCTCAGTATGGGGGAACAGACTCTGAGGGTAAATAGATCTAAATTGAATGTCGGCTTTAAAAATTAGATTTGTTGACAAGCGTACATTATTCCATCTCTACTTGGCAATGTCCTTTGTGTGTAGTTGCAAAACCTCTTTTTTATATATATTTATGGTCTGGTACATATCTATCTATACTCTGCTGTCTACTTATATATTCAGGATTAACCTTTCCCCCCAGCGAGGGGGGGGGAAGGTTAGCCGCACTTGTATAGCCTCCATTCCGTAATAAATGCCATGACGTCTTAAATTAGCGCTGGATTTATCTATAATATGCATTTAAAATTAAAGTTAATGAGGTTTTGCCGGAAGATATATATGCGGCTAGGAAGCGATACAAGTAAGCGCAGTGCCGCGACTCTTTGTTTGCGGGATGAAGCTATACAGGCGGAGCTTGCCTTTCCCCCCTCCCCGAGCTCTAGGTTCTCAGTCATAGATTTATCCTTTCTCTAGGTGCTAACCCCAGCAGGAGATCTCTATTCTCATCACGTCCCGGAGCTAAGACGTGTCATCCTTCAACCTTATTCTCATCCAGCTCATCCAGCTCATCCAGCCCATTCATCTGATGAAGATAACTACCAGAAATCCAGAAAATGGCGTACACAGGATCATCAAATTCTTGATGTTGAGGTGAAATATTTAGTATTTAATTTCAACCTGTATGTAAAAGGAAATGTAAGGTTCTCCATGCAAAGTTGGTTAAACCCTAGAAACATGATCTGAAAGATTTTCGTGTTTTTCTGACTTGACAAATATTTAAATATGATAATTTCTCCATTGTTTCTAACAAGCAAGCATTATACAAGTTCCTTTTGCAGAGAAACTGAAAGAAACCATTAAATGAAGACAAACTTGGATAAACATGGATCAGACATAAGTTTCAAGGTTGTCGTTGTAAATTGGGCTTGCAGGGAGGGTCAGTTTAGGAGTGCACAAAACAGTTTAGTTCGTTTTTAAACCTTTATCAACGAATTGTGTTTAATATAGGGGTTCTTTCGGAAAAAAACAAAAGTCTGTCCGTTTAGGAAACACAGGGTTGTACAAACTGAATTTGAGATAGATGCAAGTTGGTATCATTTATCTTTAAATTAGGCTGGTTATCCAATCTGATTTCAACATACATTATATTTCAATACATTTCCTTACTGAGATTAACAGTTTATCTTTTTGCCTTACACCTTTTATCTTTTTTTTACACCCCGTAGTGAGAAAAGCAAGGAGTTCTAAACATATTTTTCTTTATCAAAAGAACTTCTGTAATTTTTTTTTTATTTTAGGAGATGCATATGAGTCTTGAACCTGAGATATCCAGGACCTGTTTAAACCTTGAGAAGGTTTACTACATGGATCCCCAGGTGGCCAGGTTTATCAGGATCTGCCAGAATTATTATAGGTAATGTTTCAATACCAATGAAAGCCACACAATGCACAATAAAGGATCACAGCCATGGGAACTTTAAAATTGTATATCTTTAATATCGATTGCTTAATCTGAATATAGACACTTTTAATTTACCATGCTTGATTCGCTCTTTCTTTTTTTCTCTCCCTGTCAGTTTCCGACCAATGAGAGTTCACCCATTAATTGGCGCGTAAAGTTTCAAATTCCACGACTTCTCTTATTGGCTGTTCTGATTTCTCCAGACGCCACTCGATTGGTTGAGTTATATACACTTTTGTTGATATCAATTAGATTATCAAGTACAATAGGTGGCAACAGAGAAATTAACCAATTATACACGACGTCACAAGTGTCAAATATAACAAAGAAAGCGAAATTTTCTCACATTAGTTGACAAGATTTCCAAGATTAAATAAAAAACAGAAACTAAAGAACACATAAAATTGCACTTATTTTACTGTAAGAAAAGCACTTTATTCTAAAATTATCAATATTATTGATGATTTTGTCGGACACAAAAACTGAATTGACACTTGTGACGACAGAATACAACTGTACTGAGAGTGTACACATTCTACGTTGCCATCTATTGTACTAGAATCTATTTGGTTGATATTAATAAAAATAGATCAAGCATTGATCTCGATATCCACAGTTCTCAAGTTTTCGCTTCAGGACCGAGAGTAGAACTAAAGAAAATGGGGGAGGGGGGGTTTCCTAAATATAACTGTAATCGTTTTAAGAGAGCTATTGATCTAGTTTTATTATTAGTCCCTGTAATCCTTTTTTCAATAAGTTATCCAAGAAGCCTCAACTCCCCCCCCCCTTCTTCAAAGATACATTTTCTCTTAACATTTTAGAAGAAACAAAAAGTCTTAATTTTTTTCCTTTGAATAGAAAAAGATTAATTCTTGATTTTCTGATTTTAGGCGTGAAGGATCGAGTTTAGTGATTGCAGGAGCAAGCAAAGCTATTGAGCAACTTCTCAACGATATATTACCAACTCAAATCTGCACTTTCATTGATAACATTCAACCAATAAACACCTCTGATACAGCTTCTGATATAGTTGCTAATACAGCTTCTGATATAGTTGCTGATACAGCTTCTCATACAGTTCCTGCAGATAAAGCTTCTGATATAGCTTCTGATAAAGTTTCTGATACAGATTCTGATATAGTTGCTGATACATCTTCTCATACAGTTCCTGCAGATAGAACTTCTGAAACAGTTGCTGATACAGCTTCTGTTATAGCTTCTGATACGGCTTCTAATATAGCGTCTGCAGATAAAGCTACTGAAACAATTTCTGATTCAGTTGCTGATACAGCTTATGATGCAGCTTCTGAAAATGTTTCTGCAGATAAAGCTTCTGATACAGTTGCTGATACAGCTTACGAGGCAGGTTATGGAAAATATAATTTAAAAATTAGTTCTTCAGTGATGCAAGGTGATCGAGGGAATTTAAGCTCTGAAAATTCGCCATTTTCTGATTTGGAATTGGAGAACTATTTATCTAAATCTTTAAGAGTTATCTCAAAACCTGCAAATTCCAAATCCTTGGAAAATGAAGTTATTGCATTAGAAGTGAGTCCAAAGGATAACAGTTCACAATCGGTGGAATACATTTGCGAATCAACTGATTTGGAATCAGCTGAATTGAAATTACAAAAGTTTTCAGAATTGAAATAAAAAAGTGCGATTATAGTGACACATTATTCGGAATCTGCAACATATTGTTCGGAATTGATAACAAATTGTTCGGAATGAATAACAAATTGTTCAGAAAAATAAAAAATTGTTCGGAATCAGTGAAAAACTATGTCGATTACGAAAGTATGGAATATATTTCATACTCCTTAGTATCAATAAATAACCAGCTATAGCAACAAATTTTCCTGATCGACCATCATAAATGTTGATTTGTTGATTAGATTTCGATTGAAACAATTTTTTCTTTTTTTTTGTCCTATAAAATGTAATTGGTGAATATAATGGTGCTAATAAATCTAGTCAACTGAAGACTCTATTCCACAAAGTCATAAATTATAAAATAAACAATAAGGAATGTTTTTGCCATTTTAAATTTAATTTTTTTTGAAACTTCTTGAAATAGGATTTTACAGACATGAGGTTTGATTATTATTAAAGAATAAGAGGGATGAATAAATGAAAGGATGAAAGGAAGGAAGAAAGGATGAAAGGATGAATAAATAAAAGGATGAAAGGAAGGAAGAAAGGATGAAAGGATGAAAGGAAGGAAGAAAGGATGGAAGGAAGGAAGGAAGGATGAAAGAAAAGATAAATGAATGAATGGAATTAATTCTCCTATTGGAATACAAGGAGTGTGTCGAGATGTATGTATATGTGTATAAATATATATAAATATAAATATTTCAGTTTTTAACTTCACATTTTTTACTAAAAAAAGAATTATACTAAACATAATGTTTCACGTCTATCATTTTTCATCACATATTGCGTATTTTCTAAAAAATTATTACAAACATTTCTTTGCAATGATTTTCCCTTTTAAAAACATACAGCACTCAATGCAATATACAAATTATTAGATACTTATAAAAACATGATCACATTTTGCTAAATCGATGATAATAGATATTTTCTTCCATGCCGACATGTATTTATTAATTCACTACGCTGATTTAGAAGATGATGATGTGTAGATGTGAGGATAAGGGTTTTATATATAAATATATATAAATATATATATATATTGGTATATATGAGGGTAGACAGCTACATTACTCAAACACTACAGGTGTTCCACACATAATATACACCGTGTTATAACCAAGTAAATAGAGTATATGGTCCAGGGCTCAGCATTCAATACGGACTGATAAGTAGATATTCCAGGGCCCTGCATTCAATACAGACCGATAAGTAGGTGCTCCAGGGCTCAGCATTCAATACAGACTGATAAGTATATATTCCAGGGCCCTGCATTCAATGCAGACCGATAAGTAGGTGCTCCAGGGCCCAGCATTAAACATAGGTTGAAATGTAGACATTCCTGGGCCCAGCATTTAATACAGAATGATAAGTAGGATTTCCAGGGCCCAGAAATCTATACAAGCTGAAATGTGTATTTTCTTGGGACCAGTATTTTATGCAGACTGATAAGTAGTTATTCCAAGGCCTAAGCAATCGATGCAGGCTAAAATGTAGATATTCCTGGGCCCAACATTTGATACAGGCCGATAAGTAGGTATTCCAGGGCCCAGAAATCAATGCAGGCTAAAATGTAGATATTCCTATGTAAAATGTAATGTATTTCCAGAATGTAAAAATGTTATATTGAAAAAGATATGAAAAGTAAGTAAAGATAATCTGAATGCGTATTTAAATGATGCCTCTGCTGTATAACCATTGACTTGAAATCGAATTGATAAATTACAATATACAAAACTTCACACCAGGCATCATAACTTAAACCTTGGACTAGAAGACAAGAAATAGGATGGTACATGAAGAAAATAAGAAGCTTGGGACAAGAAGACAAGAAATAGGATGGTAAACAAAGAAAATAGAAAGCAATTGAGACTAGAAGACAAGAAATAGGATGGTACACGAAGAAAAAATGAATGCAATTGAGACTAGAAGACTAGAAATAGGATGGTACACGAAGAAAATAGAAAGCAATTGAGACTAGAAGACAAGAAATAGGATGGTACACGAAGAAAATAGGATGCAATTGAGACTAGAAGACAAGAAATATGATGGTACACGAAGAAAATAGGAAGCAATTGAGACTAGAAGACTAGAAATAGGATGGTACACGAAGAAAATAGAAAGCAATTGAGACTAGAAGACACGAAATAGGATGGTACACGAAGAAAATAGGAAGCAATTGAGACTAGAAGACAAGAAATAGGATGGTACACGAAGAAAATAGGAAGCAATTGAGACTAGAAGACACGAAATAGGATGGTACACGAAGAAAATAGGAAGCAATTGAGACTAGAAGACAAGAAATAGGATGGTACACGAAGAAAATAGGAAGCAATTGAGACTAGAAGACAAGAAATAGGATGGTACATGAAAAAAATAGGAAGCAATTGAGACTAGGAGACAAGAAATAGGATGGTACATGAAGAAAATAGGAAGCAATTGAGACTAGAAGACAAGAATTAGGATGGTACACGAAGAAAATAGGAAGCAATTGAGACTAGAAGACAAGAAATAGGATGGTACACTAAGAAAATAGAATGCTAATTGAGATGGAAGACAAGAAATAGGATGGTAAACTGAGAAATTAAGAAGCTTAAGACTAAGAGACAAGAAATAGGATGATACATGGAGAAAATAGGAAGTTTGAGACTAAGAGACAAGAAATAGGATGATACATGGAGAAATAGGAAACTTGAGGTTAGAAGACAAGAAATAGGAAGATACTTGGAGAAATTAGGAAGTTTGAGACTAGGAGACAAGAAATAGAAAGATACATGGAGAAAATAGGAAGCTTGAGACTAAGCGACAAGAAATAGGATGATACATGAAGAACAAAGGAAACTGAAGACTAGGAGACAAGAAATAGGAAGATACATGGAGAAAATGGGAAGTTTGAGACTAAAAGACAAGAAATAGGATGACACATGGAGAAAATAGGAAGTTTGAGACTAAGGGACAAGAAATAGGAAGATACATGGAGAAAATAGGAAGCTATAAATTAGAGAATAGTTGTGAATCAGAAATGGATGGTCACAATGGAAATTACGTCTAGTAGGTGAGGATACTAATAAACCCATTATTGCATTAAACCTTCAGAACATAATCTTCTCCAGCTCCAGGCAGGGTCGTGTCAATTCTATATTGCTGGATGNAATGCTTATTACATGTTAAATGACTGCAATGACTTTGTTACTAACCTTGCAGTAACTTTATGCGATTGCAAACAAATTTGAAATTTTTGGTCTACAGTAAATACATACTGAAGTGCCCGGCGTTGCCTGTGAACTAAAAAAATGAAAAAAAAATTGTTTTATAAAAATGTCCACCTTAAAAAAGTTTCAATCACAAAATTTCAGCCAATTCCGTCCAGTTATTAGCTATAGCTAATATATAATATAGTAGGCTTTTAGGGCGCTTCGCGACCATCTTCTTTTTCAACTTTTAATTGTAGCGTTATCTGTGTGAGCATCTTCTGTTTGTACATTTTTTTTTCAATTTTCGAATTTCATAATATTTTTTCGCGCATTTTCAAAATTTTACTAAATTAAATAATTCAAGATAAAAATATTCAAAGATTACATATTTAAAGTCTGGGGCCACGTGAGGGCCCAAACAAAAATTGGGCCTGATCGGTTCAGCCGTTTTGACGTTTATTGGAGACAAACAGACAGACAAGATTAATTTATATAGATATATATGAGTAAAATGCTTTATTTAACAGATAGCTAATCAAAGTAAATGAGTTTAAATTAAATCTAATTGTCATGGATTAAATTAACTTTTGTTCAACGGGATGAAAACATATTACATACAATTTTTAGGAAAAGTGATGATATTTTACTTTTTTTACTTCCTGTATACTAGTATTGGGAACCCAGCTTTATCTGGAAACTTAACTTTCTCTAAAAAATCAACTTACAAAACTTTCCAAAAATGTTCTTGGTGTTAACAAGTTAACCGATTAATTTGAGGTAAATTGATCAAGGATTTATCTGTTATGATCGGAGATACAAATAGACAAAAACGAACAAACAGACAGACCTTTGATATTTCCAGCAATGTAGTCTGTTAGATCAAATAGTATAAGTTTAAAATATCAAAGGTTTACAATTACAGGTTTCTAAGATATGGGGATTAGATAATTTGAGTTTGTGGCAAAGACTCAATTCCTTTACTAAAAAACAACAATAACTTTTGATTCATCAAAGCAAACTTTTCTGAGAGTGGGAGGGGGGAACTGGGGTAGGAAACCTCCCCACTGCCTTAATTGTATGACCCCTTAATAAAATGTATCTATCCTTGAGCTTGAGCATGCAGGTACCAGTACCACCCAGAATTCTAATAAAAGGTGTGCAAAACATTTTTATTATTTTCTTAAACAAATTTAAGCAACATCAAAAAAAAATTAAAACTTCAGAAAAAAATGTTTATTTTTTATTTTTGACAAGAACTTTATTTTCGAGGTAGTTGTAAATATTTAATAATATGACCTTTAGTCCTAGTTAAAATTCTGGTAGGGGGAGGGGTAGCAGTTCAGAGGAGGGGAGCAGTTCAGGGGAGGGGTAGCAGTTCAGGGGAGGGAAGCAGTTCCGTCAGGGGAGGAGTTCAGGGGAGGCGTTGCACGGAAAGGAGGAGAGGTAGCAATGTAGGGGACTGGAATAGCATGATATCGGTATAATAAAAGCCTGCAAAGATGCCTATTTGTAAATATGTAGTTATCTAATAATATGCACGCGATTTCATGGTTTCAGAGATTATAAATAAGAATACAGGGATATGGATAAAATACAAGGATATGGATAGAATATAGGGATAAGGATAGAATACACGGATATGGATAGAATACAGGGATATGGATAGAATATATAGGGATAAGGATAAAATACAGGTAGATGGATAGAATACAGGAATATGGATAGACTACAGGGATATGGATAGAACACAGGATATGGATAGAATACACGGATATGGATAGTATACAAGGATATGGATAGAATATAGGGATAAGGATAGAATACAGAGGGATATGGATAGAATACAGGGATATGGAAAGAATACAGGGATATGGATAGAATACAGGATATGGATAGAATACAGGAATATGGATAGAACACAGGAATATGGATAGAATACACGGATATGGATAGAATACAGGATATGGATAGAATACAAGGATATGGATAGAATACAGGAATATGGATAGATTACAGGGATATGGATAGAATACAAGAATATGGATAGAATACAAGTATATGGATAATACAGGAATATGGATAGAATACAGGGATATGGATAGAATACAGGAATATGGATAGAATACACGGATA